GAAAAGGAAACTTCTCTTTGCATATGTTCCCACTGTTGCCTCCTCTTTCCCCCCAGCTCGAGGACCAGAATTTCTACCTTTATGTTGCAAGGCATATACTTAAAATATTTTTTTCAGGTTTAATACTCAAGTCCAGCCCTACTTAAGCAAAGAATTCACAGACGATATTTACAAGTCCAGTGTAATTACTGCAGGGTTGAAAAACGAGTTCTGTGAGTTACGGTGCATCATTGTTTTCCTTTTTTCCCTTTTTTTTTTTTAATGTTACAAAGAACAATGTGCCTTTCATTTCCTGCAGTGCTGTTAAGGTACTTGCAGCTCAAAGCAGCAAGAATACATTAAAACTAAAAAGAATTTGGTTTGGGCATTAAACATTTTTATTTTTTAGAAAAATGCCTCTCCCTCTACAGAAATTGTTTGAGCAATGGATTTGGCACAGGTTTGTAATCAGCTGTAATAATGAATGCTGCCTTGCTCACTTGAAATGGGAGAATTTACCAACTTCTTTAAAGTGAATTTGCTAATCTACAATTAGAGTGCTGTGCTACCATCTCTGAGCTCCCGAATCCAAGCCCACCTGCTCAAGAGCCATCAGTAGCCTGTCGAAGTGACACAGCATTCTCCTGCCTTGCACAGCAGACTCTGTGTGCACCTTTACGCTGCACTTATTAATTCACCAGTGCCACCACATCAAACACAAACACTGCCGGGTGGATGCCTGAGTTCCATTTACTGACAGCAGCAACACAGCTCTGTACCACAGCTATTAACCACTCTGTGCTACATCCTCCCTGCCTTTCTCCAGAGTCAAACTCCTGCTGGAGCAGAGCACGATGTGACTTTTAATATTCTCGGAAAGCTAGAATCACAAATATCCCCACTTTGCAGACAAAAAGACCAAGAGGTTTTCCTACAAAAGTTTTAAATAATCCTACTTACAAAAAGAAAATCTATCTGATAGCTGTTTCCACGACTGAAAGTGAGAATAAAAGCCTGAGAGAGAGTTCACAGCAGTGCTGAGCTGGGGATTCAGTTGTCCCTGATCCCCAGGCATGCAGTCACTTCACTACATCAGTCTACCCATTTTGTCATCCTCACTTCACTGAAAACTAGTTTGTTTATAACATACAACACCAAACCAGTGCATTTAACAAGCTTTTAAAATCAATAATCTTTTTTTTTTTTTTTTGATTGGGTGAATTGCAAAATCACTTTGCGGTGCCAACTGAAATGAAGCGTTTACATACCATTAGGCAACGACAAAAGTGGGGAATTTTCCACATGGGTGTTCCACCCAGCTGGTCAGAAACACACCCCCCCCAGTTCGAAGCAAAATATCAGGGCATCAGAACATGTTCCTGCCTTTCAGATGAAGTTATTGGCCTCTTTCATCATCCCTCCTGCAAATTTCTTCACCCAGATAACAAACTGACAAGTTCTGGGTTTTCTGCCTCTCCCAAAAAAGCTCTTTCCCATGTTAATGGATCAGCACTATGCACACCATGTGCTAGTTTTACCCCCAGTTCCAGGGCAAGACATCTGGACCTTGGACCATGTATGCACCAACAAACTCCATTTTGCCTGCATGTTTACTTCTCCTGTTCACCACACTGCATCTCTCTCTCTCAAGAAAATAATGAAATACTTAATATTTCTCAAAATTTTTGCAGTGGTGATTGGGTAAGAGACAGCCTGAAAACTCTTCTGGCTTAATGAAGGCTGAAGGAAAGGCCAGAGTTGGTGATGAAGCCAACACCGAGAGCAGAACATGTCACCTGTGATGATTCTGCTCCAGAAAATATAACTGTAATGCCCACTAGAAAAAAGGAGTGGCTTTAAAAAATAAAAGCTTTTTTTCCCCATGAACTTCCCTTTAACAAAGGTTAGACATGCAGGCTTTCCAAAACAACACATACAATTGAGAATGATAAATTAAAACCTGTAGTAGGAGGCCTTCTTTTTCAGGGCTGTATAGTTGACCCTTCTGAACCTACATTACTCAAGGTATGCAAAATATATGTGTATAATAAATAGCTCTAGAATTTATGGAGTGGAACAGAAAGGATATTAACAGGCAAGTAGAGAGGCTGTATAACCCTCACAAGGCCTGTAAAGATTTATTTTTTTAAAATGAAGGAATGCATGCATGGAAAAGGTAGTACCGAATCGATACACTTCCTCGTGCCTTCCAGAAACACATGCAAAATGCTTCCAAATCTGCCCTCAATCTGGTCATTCCACTGCTGGCATCAGTGGGAATAAGATTATTCACAATACTACTTTTCTTTGATTTGAAAAAAAAACCAGAAAAATTCCTCTCTGTGTGGGCTCATTCCTCCTCTCAGTAAAATCAATTACGAGCCTCCCATTGACTCCGGAGGGATTTGGATCAGGCCCTGTGGAAGTGGGTCTACAGCAAGTGTAGAACAACGCAGTTAATATGATTTATTGTGTCCGTTTCTGTGCGTGCAGTTTTTCATTTTCTAAAGCCTGCAGTTTTGCTTTCATCCTCACGTTCAGTAGATAAGAGCTGCAGATCTGTGTTGATCTACAGGCTGGGTACACTGTGAGCTGGGGGCTGTGTGTGCTGGGAATGAGCTCAGAGCCTGCCCGGGGGGAACAAACCCTTTAGGGCCACCAGACTGGGTTAGATGCGTTGGTGAAGAAAATCTCCCACACAGGCACTGCAAAAGGTGCGTAATCAGTGAGGAGGCTGTGGTGGGGAAAAACACCCTTTAGTAAAACTGAGAAAAAAACCCAGAAAAATCCTTTTCCTGTTTATTTATAAGAAAAGTACCTTTTGCAGGTCATCAGTGAAGTTCCAAGAATTCACTAAAAGCTTGTTTTACGAAGAGGCTCCAAATCAGAGATGTTTCATTCCACTA